TCTACATCGGTGTTAGACACCGAGCATTATGTCACACTGAGTGATGAGATAATAGAACATGGAGGACAAGGGATTTCCGAGCACGATAATTTAGAAGGGAGTCGTAAAAGTTTGAGAAGTGGGTATGCACAGAGTAAATGGGTTTCGGAAAAATTAGTGTTGGAGGCAAGAAGAAGAGGGTTGCCTGCTACAATAGTGAGACCGGGTTATATAGTCGGTGATTCACGCACTGGAGGTAATTTATGTCTTTTCAAATACTGAAAACTGTTAAACAAAATATTATTCTTACAATACTTTATTGTAAATAGTTACAAACACGGATGACTTTATATGGCGATTAATCAAAGGATGCATTCAACTTGGCCTCATTCCAACCATACACAATACAATAAACATGTGCCCAGTCGACTACGTTGCCGACTGTGTCGCACAAATATCACTTTTACCAACCTCACCCCAAAAAGGTGTATTCCACATTACACATCCATCTAACCCTTCATTCCGTTTCGACGACCTCTTCCAATCCCTTACGATCTATGGCTACTCAGTCCAGAGAACCGAATATATTGTTTGGCGAAATAAACTAATGGAATTTATACTCCAAGCACAAGATAACGCTTTATATCCCCTCTTACATTTCGTGTTGGACGATCTGCCGACGAGTACAAAATCTCCCGAGTTAGATGACTCGAATACGCGTGCGGCTGTGTCGCGCACGCCTATTTGTATTGATGAGCAGTTGATGGGTGTTTATTTGGGCTATTTGGTGGGTGTTGGATTTTTGAGTCGGCCTGAGACTGGTGGAAGAGAGTTACCGGTTGTGGTGGTTGATGCAGAGATATTGAAGCGAAGCGGGAGAAATTAAAATGAGATTTATTATTATTAATTTCTGATTAGATTTGATATACTACAAAGAATTTTGAAATTGAAAATCCTGTTGCCACAGCTCATGTTACCTCTTCATTACCGAGATACCTATTAAATTACATCGATTTTCTTTATTATCAAGGTAAAAATTGACCAGCATGAACAATCTTATCGACAAGTTAAAAGTACTTTTTCTACGTTAGACTTCTTCCTCTAGGACAAAACTTCTTTATATCGAAAAAATCGGTCGCACAAACATACAGTGACTCTATAGTGTAG